TTTTTCTTCAAACAACCTATCTTTCACATGTCCGTTTTCGTAACCTATTACAAAACGGTTCACTAACGCGTTTTCAATTTCCACAGCACCTCCGAACTCACATTTGGACACTAAACTTCGCAAACGGGCTGCCCATTCTCTTGGGGTTTCGTTTGTAATTTTCCTTGACTCGAAAAATTTTTCTCGAAAAGAAAACACCGATGCTACTGACTGAAAATGTCCATCCATCATTTTTAATATTTCCGCATAGGACTTTTTTTCGGGCTCCATAGGAATGCACATATCATACAATAACTTATAAGCCTCTTCATTTAAAAGACTCAAAAGTATGGCACGTTTACGATCCTCTTCAATGATCGAATTTGCCGTAAAATAGTTTTGCAAACGTTTTTTATAAATCGACCAGTCCGACACTGAAGGTAAAAACTCCTGAATGTGACCGGTATACTGCATTATTTTATCTGCCATACCACCGACAGAATTCACCACTAATTTCCTCGTCGCCACTGTAACATTCCCGTAAAAACAATATACCACCTCTCGATGTACATACAGAGTGTATCTATAATGAATATCTTACAGAATGTAATATACATTGAAATCAATGGACATGAGTATGTATTCAAGTCTAAAATCTCAGAAATGTGAACCGATAGGCTGGGTTACTCGAGTTGAAATGTATTCAACAATATCAGTTTTTGTCTCCATAACATTGAAAAGTATCTATCATCAACCAAAGTTATAAAAAGCTCAGATTGATTTCTCAGAAACTGAGTTAATAACATTTCTGTTATGATTTCAAACAAGTATTGCCAATCGATTACAGTAGACAATAATAGAATTGAACAAATGCATTTTAACGCAATTTTTCAGAGAAATCTATTTCTGGATGTCTATTCATCCATTTGATTTTTTCCGCTTCCTTGAATTGCAATTGAATAATATTCAAGAGCACAGAGCATGAAGATTCTGCAGAAACAAACATACAATGCAGTGATATTGAAACTTCAAGAAAACTTTGTATAAAAACTGCTTGCAGATGTATACATTTCTAGTAGTGAATAGGTGGGATATTCAAAATGTTTCGCATATACAGATAAATAACTGTCGGGTACTTATATGTATATTCAGAATATAACCGTATTCTCACCATTGAACTGTCTGCTAGAAGCTTGAGTCGAAATCATTCAAATTTTTTGTTTCTTTCAAGTCGTCTCGAGCATTTTCAGGCTGAAATAATGACTGCATCAAGGTCTGCTCCAGCTTCAATTGAATAAACTTCTTCAGTCCATGAAATGCAAAACGATACATTCGTGAATTGCATTGGCGTATCATGGACGCCTCTAGGATTAACAAGACATTATTGCCAACATTTTCTGGTGATTGAAATAAATGAAACAAAAAACGACAAAATCAGTATCTTTCACATTTCAGAGGGTTTTCATAGAATACAAAGAAATGCACCAGTTCAACCCACGAGAAATGAATGAAAGTAGGTACTTTTTCATTGATTACCAAATTGAAAAATGCATCGGGACGTTTGTTGAAATCAAACGATTAAGTGAATTTTCAATTTGTTCGGGTTTACCTAATCCTCAACAATACACTGATGCTTCGTAACAAACTTTAACAGCTGTATCAGTTGATACAGATGGTGATTTTATTCAATGAAATGACATTGTGGTTAAAATCGAGTCGCTTTGCCTATACAGATATGTAGATCAATCCATTTCTAACAAGATCAAAAAAAAAGATCAAACTTTTAAAGCTTCCGCAGGAACTATATTGATATATAACTCAACAGATATATCATCGTCGACGTCTACAATATGGGAAAAACTTGATTAGGAATTACCGATAATTTTTATCAGTTGTTTGGAAATAACAATGAAACAGTACAAAAATATTTTTTGAATGCAGTTCCAAACTTTTGAAATCACCTCTACATGATGCTCTTATGAAACAATACATACAATATTCTTAATTCAACCATACAAAAGTGATGGAAGTTGAATCAGTAAGTGCCGATTCAAACCCTAGTAACGAGTCACCACTGTTTCGTATGGTACATGCCTCCGAAGATGTCAAATCAAGGGTTGTTTTACGAGACTCAGATCCTCGATCGAGAAGAACTGATGCCTAATAGATAGACATCTTTGGATTACGCATGCAAGTGTGTAGATCGGCATGGGAACAAATTGATGAAAAGAATTCGCAAATCCACCAATAGATCGCTACTTAGGTGAATATGACAGAAATTAACGTGAGAATGGTATTGGTTGAATGAGTCTGCTGAAATCTGTTAGGAGAACTTGAAATCAACGAAAATACCAATAAATGAATTCGGATAAACATTCAAGTCGATATATTTTATACATCACTGATTCCTATATGAAAATATTGCATATTATTTCATTTTCTTCATTTTTTCATTCTTTGAAGAGCACTTGTTTTATGTTGCTGAATATTTTACGTAAAAGTACCTATACAACTCACTACAGATTCACTATTGAATTATTGCTTTATCTTAGTGTAAGCAATATTAATGAAAAGCAATGAATTATCTATATGAACAGAACTGGCCGATACTTGATGAAAATCCATAATAAAACTCATTAATACAGTTTGTTGTATGATTTTCACTATAAAGGGTTTTACAAAAACCGCGACACGTGTTTCGCTATACAATAGCTTTCTCGAGCGTTACATTTTACGTTTGAGGAAGGGTAAACTATAAATTGATGTCAGCATTCAATTTCCCCTGCGTTTTAGCTAATAACTGAACCTAAGACTAAAACTAAGACCAACGAGAACTCGATTGGGACTGAGAACTACGAATTGACCAACGTTTAACTATACACAATTAGTTGAGAAATATTGCTTTCTATATACATTCTATATCTATGTATGCAGTTTTATTTCGAACAAAAACAAGTAGTGAGCTGGGCACTAATTTCAGTTATAGTTTTCACTTTCTAGTTATCAGGTTCAGTTCCTAAATATTGTTGCAGAAACCAACATTTAATTTCAGTTAGCGAGACGCTTCATTTGAATAACATGAATTGGGTTGAAACATTTTTATAAACATTGGGTTTTAACAATGACAGCTACAGACAGGAAGATATGAACCAAGAAAAGGAAACGTGAGGAGTCCAAAATATTACGTTATAGTTTTTTGGATACTTTCACGATACAAAATTGAACGTTTAGAAGTTGTAAGAGCGCATATCAACGGGATTAAACAATATCAGAAAAAGGATCTCTTTTCAGACAGAACAAAAATACAATAATGGAAGCTTGATGATGGACGCAGTGAAGAGAATAATTTGCAGCGTATAATTTTACACAAAATTTCAATTTTAGAAGAGATTCTTCTAATATTTTGAGGCACGATAGTAGTTGGGAGAGTCGCACAAATTTTATTGAAGTAAATTCAAGAATGAATGTTGATTATTTCAATACCCTTGTAGCATATATTTCACAAAATGTGTCTTCATTGTCTCAATTTTGTACTAATCCATGATATTTTTTTGATCCATGCAGAAAAACAGTGATACAGCACTTGGAAGAGTCTTGCTCTTGAGTGCCCAGCAAATAGTCTTGACGCAAATCTCATATATGACCACGAAATATTGGTGCTGACTGAACTGCATGAATAATAGTGGGAATGGACCCAAAATTAATTAACGACTTCCTGATCAGCATGTCCAATTTTGAAAAGGAAGAACTGCTGTAATGTTTGTTATTATTTTCTTCAATGAAAAGTTTTAGTAGTAAAATGAGTAATTTCGAAACTTTCATAAAAATTTGTGATGAACTTCAAATATATAAGTTGTTTTGATTACTGATAATGTATAACACTTCATTGAACGTTATTCAGTAATTCGAATAACAAAAATTGGAAAAATGAAGGGACACATTGAAATATGCAATATTTTTATTCTATAGTACGTGGGCATACTTGAAGACTGGCTTTATATCAAATTAATCTAAAGGAACCATTCGTTCAGGCCAGTCTTCTTACCCACATAGAAGATTTATTGACTTACACCTATCAGAAAAAAAACTACTCCCCTGGCTAATACCACGAAAGGCGTTGGATTTTCATCTTTGAGTCTATTTTCAGAAAAACTTGAGACGGCGGTTTATTGTTTCCATTTTAGAAAATTTTGTCTCATAGGTATAATTTCATCGTATGAAAAATCCTTGATGAAATATGATCATGTGAAACACATCTTATTGAATTATATGAATATTTATGGATATATGAATAAATCTTCTCATAAGTCTCTTTAATAGTTCAGCATGAATAAAATTTGCATAATATGATTAACGTTATAACGACAGGATGAACAAAGTGTAATTCCTGTGGTTTTTCAAACTTCAGTGGAATCGATAAATTATATCGGTGTCGTTTCAAAAAGTCATTTATCAACTAGCAATGTACATTCGAAAGCAGAAGTATGGCTAGTTAATACCTGGCTAAATAAGATTTTTCATATACCGGATGATAATGATGAATAAGTCATCTTATCCTATTAGGCAGTTTTTATCGAATAAAACCAAATTTGTTGCAATCAGTTTTTGTACTTTTTCTGCAATGACAAAATTTCATGACATACCTGTATCTGGTTTCTGGAAGATGGTATAGTTTTGAAAATGTTTTAATGACCGAAACTAGTCAACAAATATAAAACTATCATGGAGAATAGACAAAAGTGTTTTTATAGTTTTTATAGTGAACATGACTTCCCACGAAATAAACTAGTCGTCAATCAGAGAAGTTTAATAGAAGCCTTATATAAGACAGTCTGAGTGAATGTGTTATGTGGATTGCTCAAATATAAATCTTCTCATGTGAATCTCACAATAAAATGTTTTTTGAGTACGTTAATCCATTATTAATTTAATATTTTATCGAATGTTTTCAATATCCGATAACAGTTGTGATATGTTCATCGGCCAATCCATCATATACCATATATAATCTCAGTACTCACCAGGCAATAGATCAGCATTGGAACTGAATAGAACACACAAACCCGTCTCGTAGTTGACAGACTGACAGGATTCGTTTCCCTGACATGTTTCTAGGCAATCCGTCAGCATAAGAGTTCCAGGAATGGAGTCCAAAACGTTTCCGGGCGCGGAAAATACATTTCCAGTAATAAGTTCGAAACCTATCATCTCCGGATCGCAGTCATCTAGTGGGGATGCGGGAGGACCAGGAACATGTTCAGGAGTTTCGACAATTTCAGTATCGTCCTGTCCATGAGAGTAGCAAATCGATAATGATAAGAAGAGGCAGACTTGAAGCCAGGACATCTTGTTTTATTTTTACCTGTAACAAACAAGAAACTAAAAAGAAATTGCTCAGACAACTTTTCAACTGACAGTGATAACATAAATAAAAATAATAACTCTCAAATATAAACGCGCGATGAGTATTTCAAAATTGTCTTTCTAGTAAAAGTGTTTTCCATTCATTCAGCAGTTTTGAGTGTCTGGATGCCTGTGAGGTTATGAAGTATTTTTGAATTTTGGAACATGAATATGTTCGAATGCGATCGTATTCACATTTTCAGATATTTAGAAAATGTTCTTGGGACGCGTCTCATGAAACTACTTCGTTTTTCCCCATATAACATAAGAGATTGAATGTCAAATGTTGACCTAACTCTTTTCTTCAGTCGATATTTAGTCAATTTCTTGGATCGGGATGAATGATGTTTAGTTTTCTTGGTGATGAATACAATTTTGGTTAATGATTCCGCCATACTTGTGATGCACTGTTTGAAACCTTTGGTGTAGTAATAAATATTACTGGACTTTAGCCCCAACACCAAACCGTTATTTTTAACACCGAGGTGTCGAAGTGTTAAAAATAACGGTTTGATGTTAGGATAAGTTAGGTCTAAAGTGAGTGGGTCTATTCAACCCTCCACCGCAACCCGCAAGGGTTTATTGTGGCTCACACGTATTCACACTCGACCAAATAAACCCAGCTTCTCAACGAAGCTAATTAGTTTGTATGGTAAGTGGTCTTTCAGGTCAGATGATAGGAGTACGGCTCTGCCGAACTCTTAAAACCTGATTCGGTCCCCAGCGAGACAGGCACAAAGTATATGCTCTGCTGTTTCATCATTTTCCAAACAGAGGCGACACACACTGTGTTCCGACAGTCCGAGTCTCTGCAAATGACAGTGACCTGGAAAAAGGCGTGTTAAACAACGTAGTTCACGGTTTGGTGTTAGAACTGAACTCCAATAATATTTAATGATTCCACCAGTTAACTGTGGCTCCCTTCTATATCTTCATTCAGCAATGTCTGTTATTTTCCAATCTGTGCTGCTGGGGCTCATAATTTCTGTATATCTAGGATTGGTTCTGAGCCTCATATACTGCAGTATGTCCAGGATATTTCAACACAAATGAGTATAACCTAATTTTTAATTTTTTACTTTCACTCATCATACCTTTCAAAATCCAAAAACATTTTTCACAAATTTCCATCCAGTCTCTTATCTGTCGAAATATTAGGACTAACTGCTTATTCTAAGTATTTGTTAGGTTGTAGTAAAATCTCACGGTACCGTAGAAATATCAAAATTGAAGAGCATACCATATAATATAAAGAGCTTAACATCCAATTATAGAATCAAATAAGTTTTTAATGGGTACTTCGTGATGGCAGATTATGAAACTCATTGATTACCACAACCTACAAATCAATGTAAGTCATCCGTATCGTTTTCAGAATTGCTGAAATAGTTGGATAAAACATCACGATAACATTACCAATGGGAAATATGAAGATGTCGAATTGTAATCAAGGGGTTGGATGGCTATTTACGATTTCGAATTTCAAACAGTTGATACATTTTTCACGGGGGAGAATCCTAGTTACTTATGTTGAGTAGATTTTCACATAATCTAAGAGTTACTTTTATGGAACTATTATGGTAATGGTAGTCGTGGAATTTGAAATAATGCCCATCAATTTTTTCAGACTTATGGAATATTTCGTGAAACATAAGCGTGTTATCATATGCAGTGTATTAATCTATCTACTATCTTACTTTGTCAAATAGTGGAATGGCATAATTCGAATGCATTCATGATTTCATTCGAGCATTCTTTGTGTGATATCAATTAAATATGCTTTCATTATGTTGGTGCTAATTACTTGAATGGAATTCTTTTGAAAAAATAAGAAATTTCATATCTGATAGAAGTTCTACTTTGTTACTTGCATCGCTCAGAACCAGTTTAGATCAAACCGATTGCCATTTTATGTACGATGGAAAAAAATAAATCATCGGCAATTACAAAATATTTTAAGAAGAATTTAATCAGATTTTTGTCAAAATATTGTTTAAAAAATTATTCGCATCAAATGGCTCGAATTAACTTCCTGATGAAATATGCTAACACATGTTCTGTCATGACGTATGAAATATTTTGGCAGTTTTTTTTATTAAAAGGGGGTGCTTTTCATTAGTGTCACTAAAATGTCATTCGAATACTATAGTCGAAGAATACCGCAAGGTGATATTGAAAAATTTTCTAATTGATGACCTGAAAATTTGTTTGATATACAAAAAATCACCCTCTGATAACCATCTCATTTGGAAAAGTTTTATCAAAACAATCAGAAAAAAGGGCGTTCTACAAAAAAATGGAATATTGACTTAGACAATAAACGAAAAACCGTCATATGCTTCAAAATATTGATTAATAAAAGGTTTCACCTAGAAAAGCTATCCCATCTATTAATTGAGTACCAAAATGGCACCTTTTATCTTCGATGAGGTTTCCATATTAAAAGAGGGGAGGAACCTACAACTCATGACGTATTGTTAATCCTTCACACTATCCCTCAGTTTATAAAGATCACCTCAATGATAGACAAACTTCTCGGGTGCAACAGGCATTTTTTGAAAAAAATGATCGATGTTTTTAGCGGACAAACTGTTCTGTTGAGATTATTCATGACCTCAACAGAATATTGATTGCATTACCTAACCCCGACAATCAACATGCAGGAATTGACAATGAGTTATCGTTCAATAAATCTGAATTACCGACAATTACTGAAATATTTTACATGGAAAAACTGCCCTTTCAGAATATGCCTATCAATTTGATGTTCGTCAACCAGTTTTGATAAAAAATATAGCTTCCATAATTATTCAAAAGACACGAAGTGAAATTCAAGTGATGAAACACCTTTTTTCTGGAGGAGTTAGTATTTCTTTTGTCTGGATTTTTAACTTTCCACCATACGAGAAATAAACAAAGCTGAATCAATAGAGAAATTGTTGAAGTGTATTAGAAAAAACTTTGGAAATTCACTCAGAAAATTCAATTTTTTCATTGATTAAGTATTCAATTCGTAAGCTGAATTTTGAAATACAAGTTACGCACCAACTGGCCTGTTCATTGGTTTACATTATGTTGTAACTTTTCGAAAGAAAATTTTCTGTTTATCTCTATCACACTCCAGCAGATTCTCTATTGATTCAGCTTTGTATGTTTTTCAAATTATAGAAGGGAAAAAATCCAGAAAACAGCTAAAAACAGCAAGAAACTCATTTCAAAAATATGAAAACAGTTTCAGGTGTACAACAAATATTGAATTTTGGAAAAGAAATGTTCTGACTATCTACTCCTCTATCTTTATCTTCCAAGGAAAAGACAAAGGCAAATAATTTTGAAAAAACTATTCATAAAGATGTGTAGATGCAGAGAAATAACTTGCAGCCACTATTTGTTAGAAAAAGCTCTATCGAAACAACTACTTTCACATAAACATTTGATTAGACGAATTGTCGAAATCTAGGGATCCTATTTTTTTCAAGGACAAAACACAAGCACTACAGAAAAATCCTTAAGGTGCTCTCAAAGCGGTCCTTGTGCGAAAGTAGCGATTCACATTGGATTTGAATCGCTGGAGATCAAATCCATTTGGAAAAACGTTTCAGGAAGTTTATTCCACATAAACGCAGTTCTTCCGATGGAAGAGTTCTTGAATAGTGGAGTTCGAGGAGAACTGACTTGAACCTGAAAACGATGAGCAGCCACAGTCCATCGCCAAGTCACTTGAACATCTTCTGTGGAAGTATCTATAGAAGAGAGACAAATCTCCAATCTTTCTTCGATGTTGCGGGCTATCAAGGTTACACGTGATGTTCGCGTCTCCAATCAGGCGGATGACTCTTTTCTGGATGGAATCCAGCTACTCCAGGGTATGTTTGGGGGCAGAGCTCCATACATGAAAACAATACTCCAAAAAAGGTCTACTCTGAGCTCTATAAAGCATCAAAAGTTGCTGAGGTGTGTATAGTTTTCTGTTTCGGAACAGTGTTCCAAGCTTTTGAGAAGCAACCTTTGCAATTCCAGCGACATGATCGTGCCAAGACATATTGGTGTCCATTTTAACTCCCAACAAACTTATCGAAGCAGAAAGCGGAATTGTCTGGCTTGCCATTATTATATCAGGTTCGGAGACATTCATCTTCTTGGAGAAGACCGATGCCTGGCTTTTTTGGTAGCATTGAATTGAACCTGGTTACTTTCACCCCAATTCGAAATCATTTCTAGATCCTCATTAAGATGCAACCTCCTGCTGCCAATGAAGATGTGCCTCCGTAGCCGATGTCCTGGAATCCAAATGGAATGACGAAACAAGTGTGTTGTCGTCAGCAAAGCAATATATTGGATTCTTGGTTTTTTCCATTGAATCTTTGATATACAATAAAAAGAGGGCAATTGGAGACTTGTTCTCTTGATGGGAACTTTTTTGTGATAACATAGTACATTAGTGTCTAAATTCATAGTGTCTGAATCCATAACTCTCTGCCCAGTGAATAGTAGACACTACTCTATATATAATTTCAAGAGAAAGTTGAAAATATATCTGAAGCCCATGTATTATTATTATTATTATTATTCAACTGTAATGACTGTGAGCACAGTATTTTTATAATGATTATTGAGAAGAAAATGAAAGTACTATATTATATTCAATAAAAAGTTAATGAGAATTCGAAATGATAAAATTTACTTTTGAGTGAGTTAGACCATTTGGTTTAGAAAATATTTCGACTCCCTCACTACAATCACTAATCCTAATTCGATATATTACATTCACGTGTTCACGAAATATTTTCACTTATTCCTTGAAATAACCACAAAGTGGATTTTATCGCTTCCGGACTCGGTTAATCATGTTGTTAGCAATCATGAACTTCCTTTGTTGAGACTGATAGAACAACTGTAGATGAATGGAATCTGAACGCGTGTCTTGAGTTTTTTGAAAATACCATTTTAAGGTGTTGA